TAATCCCTGTCGTCAGGATGTATCTGGATCTGTCGGTACATTTTCTCAATATCTGCGGTAAAGGCTACTGCATGTTTTCTCCATCGTAGTAAAATGTCTGATAATTCTTGCTGCAGTTTTGGACCTGCATACATTTGATCATTTAAGCTGGTATTTAAGTCAGTTTTGGATGATGCGTCAAATACTACTCTCAGTTTAGTGGTTGTACTCGATTCCTTGATAACTGCTTGGTGGGGAATGTAGTACTTTCCTCGGTTTAGGTTATCGAAGTTTACTTGAGTCATATGTCCCATGTCTGCATATTCTCGTAGAAACTGTTTGTAATCAGTATCTAACTTTTCGTTTCTAGAGAGTTTATGTTCTAATTGGATCAATCTCGCCACAGCTCTCGTCTTGGAGTTGCCTAGTGTAGATTCCGAGTTTGAAAAGGGAATTCTTACTGTGTAGGTTCCATCTTCGTTTCTTTTGGTAGTGTCTTGATAAAACTGTTCACATAGTTGGTCATCTTTGTTCACATATTTGGGTGGATTAACTTCTTCCAGTTCCCAAAATTTTGTTAACTGTTTATCTTCTTCAGTACGGACAACCATACTTATCACCTTTATGGGGTTCGACTTAGTGTTTTGGACAAGACCTGACATAATCCATCCTAGTTCGGTATTTTGTGCTATTATACCATCTTCAGTTTTGTGGAGGCCCGGAAGTATGATTTTGGCATATTCTTCAGCTCCTAACAGTATATCAATTGGACCAGGTTTGTTACAGGTTGGATCAGCTATGAGCTTATTTTGCCATTTATTAAGGTCCATGTTTGGCAAGAATTCTTTTGGCAATGTTTGCGTTAGTTTGGGCAGTACAAGTAGATGTACAGTCAAGGTATAGTTGCTAGAAAATCGTGGTTTTATTGTAGCTTCAATTTGCCATTTAGAAATTTTTGGTTCTCCATCTCCCAATCCAGAGATGTCTGCTCGTATTCTTTTTCTTGGTAAGTTTAAGAGTTGTGCTGCTTCTTCGGTGATAAAGGATGACTGCGACCCCTGATCAACCAGCACTCGTAGAAGTTGGAACATTCCATTGGAAGTTTGTACATTTACCATAGCCGTAGGTATTAACACTGTATTATCTTCTCTTCCTATGTGTGTCGACGTAGATACAGGTTCATATTGAGGAAGCTGACTGGCCACTATGGTAGTATTGGTCTGGGATCGTAAACTGTTAACAGATCTCGCAACTCTAACATGTTCTGAAACCCTTGACTGTTCTTTTCTGTCTTTATGCAGCATACTGTGATGGGACATACCACAGGTGCGGCATCGGAGTGAACTATGACATTTTTCCTTTGAATCATGTGTCATACAGTTGTAACAAAGTCGATTGTTTCTGATAAATTGGTTTCTATCAGCTATAGACAATGTTTTAAATTTTATGCATTGGTATATGCTATGTAACTGCTTACAATACACGCAGTCTTGATTTTTTGGCTTAAAATCAGTCTGGGAGAACCCATTTGGCTTCTTAACGGTACTAGATTTTTCTAGTGCTTGAAATCGTCTTTCGATGAACTTCATGACATCTTCAAAATGTGGTATCTCATTTGGTTCGGTTAGGCTTTGCTCATAAATTCTGTTTGTTTCTGAATCCCACTTTCGCATTATGATACGTGTTAGTAATGGACCCCAATAATCCGTCTTGACTTCCAAGTTCTTTATGGCTTGAAGGCTTTCAGTGGTTACATCATGTAATAGCTTGATATCATTCGGCGATTCTCGTTTGGATACTGGTAAATCTATTATTCTATCTAATAATGTGGATAATATCTGGCGCTTGTTTTCATATCTATTCTGTAATGTGTTCCAAGCGATCTCATAGTTATCTTCAGTAATTTTAAAGTGCTGTATTAACTTGAAGGCTTCACCTTTTAAACTGGTTTTCAGATATTGCATCTTTTCTGTTTTTGATAATGATGTTTCATGTATAACCTTTTGAAATATATCATTGAAGGAACACCAATTCTCGTAGTTGCCATCAAAGAAGGGAATATTTATTTTTGGTAATACCACATTGGATTTAATACTTTCTAGAGTATTACCTGAGTTTTCTTTTGCTTTTGTATTCAGTTCTTCCATTATTATTTCATATTGATTTTCCATACTTATATATCTGTCCATAACAAAATACTCATGTGTAAAACGCGCTTCGTATACCATAATTTCCTCATGTAATTCTAATATTGCATCCCATTGTTTTTGCACTTTGTTGGTTAATGCCTCATACCTGTATTTTGTTTTACCTTGGGTTGCTTCTTGTTGTATTTGTTGGATAGTGCGTTTGAATTGTTCCATTTTTACCATTTGTTTTTTGATTCTAAGTTGCTGTTCCACTTCTTCATTACTATTTGGTTGTATATTTGGGTCTGCTTTGGAACAATCTTTCAGATATTCCTTGTATTCATCGTGTTTCCCTTTTATTTGATCAAAATACTGACTTGTAAAATACACATGATCGGAGAGACCTATTTTTAAGGCTTTGAAATGTTTTTCATTCGCTTGCTCCAATAAGTTCTCTCTTTCTTCAGTTTTATTTGCAATATACTCTTCTGTTTTTCTAGATGACGAGTCTTTTTTGGCATTGCTAAGCAATTGTACTATTTGCTTACCAATTTTTTCTTGATCTTTTGCTATTTTGTCAATTTCTTCGCTTTTTGTAGGCATTTTTTTTTTTTTGTACTATTGATTGACTGGACTATTAATTTAATATTTTTTACTTTTTTGCTCGAAGGACCAATGAATAATTTGTATTAAAAAATAAGGGCTATTTTTTAATAATTATTATATTAATTTTAAGGATGTTAGATAGACGAAACGTGGGGTTAAAAAGCATTTATTTTTAAAAAATTAACATTTTTATAAACTATTATTATTAAACAAAATTTCAACAATATTAAATATAAGATAACAACTTTGCTAATTAATTAAACAACGAACTCGATGTTTTCGCTGAGTTGCAATTTTCAGGTTCGCCGACCAGAAACGTTCTAATTTTAACTGTTTAATTTATGGTGAAATAAATTAAACTTTGATGTACAGGATGTTATTTTATTATGTTCTGATTGAACATCAGGTTCTTTCAGAATAACTTCAACTTAGAGCTAGGCAAATTATAAGGTAGATAAATATTTGCTTGAGTGTCTCGTTTGATATACAACGAGGCGTAGGGAAATCCTTGCAAATGAATTATGTGTTAGGGAAAACTTAAGAAGAAAGTACAAAAATCCAACCAACTTAATTATCTCAGATCGCCAAATAACCTTAAATGCTCTTGATTCAGACAGACAGTATCATGTCAGGTGATCTGGACATGCCTTGGAATACTTAATGATCTGGCAGCCCATAAAGATAAGAGGAAGAAGACGTTTATTAGCTTCGAAACCAAATAGTTCTTGGTATTTTTGTTCTTGTCGAATATGTATACATATAATTTTGTTATTAAGCTTCAAGCATTCAGTTGATACACTTAAACGTATAGCCACTTTGATATAAAACATATATAATCACATTTATTTTCCTTAATTATAAAAATCAAATGGGGCTCAACGGCTCAACTAATCTACACTATTCGGTTTGCAAAACCAATTATCCAATTACTAACTGTTAAGAAACTATCTATATATAAAAGGCACGAAACACAGTTTGATTGCTGCTTCAAATAAAAATTACAGGTCAGTCTAAACACTATAATTTCAAATTCTAAAATTTAATGCTACCCATATTTCGGTTACTGCTACCAACTTGTTTTCTATGTTTCTATACCAACCATGCTATAAATCAGTGACTAATGCGCTAGTTCAGTGATGATGTAATTATGGTTCCACTGACAATTAAAGTGACAGTAGATTTTTTGAGTGCGTTTTGTTCGTTTTGTTTACCTAAATTATATCGTTTTTTTCACTTTTATAAATATATTCCTAAAGTTAGTAGATAGCATGTATCAAATATACAATCGTTTATAGTCCAATTACATACCTTTAAACTATTTTTTATGACATAAACAATATTTTGAAATAAAATAAAAACAGTAAAAACGTATATGTCAAATTTATTGATGTTTTTGTTAAAAGTTTGGTTAGAATTAAATGTCAGTGGAACCAAAATGACATCACACTGAACTAGCGCATTATACTCTTACCTGGAGAGAATGTGCGTGTAGGTGTAGTGGGGGTTGATTTCTAAAACTAAGTGTGTTCATGGATAGGAAACATGATAGTTCAGTACATTAAAACTAAATATTTAGTTATAAATTAATGAGATTGTTAAGTAAAAATACTTCCCAAAAACAATTTCCTAATAACTTTTGATCAAATTTGATTATTATGAGTATAGAAAAACAATGACCTTAGCTCTTAAAGAATGTTAGTATTGAAGTTTAAGTACAATGGAATATATAGGTATCAGGTTGATCAAGATCCAATAAAGTAGATATTTTGAATTGAAAAACCTGAAAAGAAAGTCCAGTTGCTTTTATCTCTAATGCAGGTATTGGGCAACCCACAGCTCGCAACTAAGAAGTAACAGCATCAAGAAGTTAAGAAAGAAATTAGTCGATGAACAAAATATCTTTGTAAAACGCAGAGAAGAAGCTAAACATATCGTGTTCAGAACAATTGGTGGTCCCAGAACATGGGTCCAGAACAGATGACGGAGCAGGTGGTCCTAAAGAATAACCAAGGACATAGATATAATTAAATTTTGTAAAATAATTATTTGCAGAAATAAAAACAAGTTTACCTTTAAGAAGATTCTTATAAAAGAAACCAAATGTAGAAATAAAAAAAATTGTCCGGATAAATATAGTGAGTTAAATTAATAAGTAATCAACAACAAAAGGACTTAAAAGTCCTCAATTAACTGCTTGGAAAATATAAATAACTATGACATGATTAAGAAAGAAAAAATAAAGAGAAATCAGATTTTTTATTCAATGTCTCCTTAATACTTAGATACCTTGTTGTTGCTGGTAATACTGTTGCTGTTGAGTTTGCTGTTGTTGCTGCTGCTGTTGCTGCTGCTGCGCTTGTTGCTGCTGTTGCGTCTGAGGTTCCTGTCTCTGCTGGCCCTGTCGTTGCTGCGGTCTCTGTTGGTATTGTCTCTGGTTGCGCCTATCTAACATTTCGTCCTCGGACATGTTGCTCTCATAATTTTCTTTAGTTATTTCTGCAACGCATCGTTGTGCTAGTATTTAGAAATAGGGTACTAAGCAAATCGATTAGTATTTCTTTTTATGACACCAAGATCTACCTCCAAGTCTAAGTAAAATGAGCTGCATACAAATCTAAGCGCGCTGTACCTACAGCTTACTGTTGTTACTAAGAAGCCGGCCAAAATTGACAATATTCATTTAATCATGCCAATATCAAAGTTCTACATTCTACGGACTTTCAAAAATAAGTTTGAGTTCATTGTTGCGTATACGTAATATGTTGGATGGTTTTTATTTTTGGTTCGGGTGTTGGTTTAAACTTATTCACAGACTTTCATTAATACAGATGTGACCAAGTGAAACGAAATGAAAGATCAGATAATAATGGGTTATGGGTAAAAATGCAGTAGGTATATGCATCAAATGACAAAGTGGTCTTAAGTAGTGGAACAAGGGGGCTATTACCACAGAAATTTGTGCATTAAATTTTCAATATCCGTTCAAGTAAACTTAGGTATATACGGGGGACATACGAAAAATTCAACTGACAAATGACATGACTGCAATGCTGGAACAATAGAGAAGCAGGCTGAGTCTAAGGAATGCTAAACCGTTAAGGTCCTCTGTTACAGTGCTCTCAAAGAGGTTGGACTTCTCTAGATAGTAAAAGTTTACGAGTCAATTTTGAGTCTTTTAATGATGATATTTTTTCTAAGATATACAGCATTATTTCCAATTTTGTGCATAATTAGCTGAATTTCCAGTAGTTCCGGACTAGTTATATTGTGCCCATAAGTTTATTATTGATTATGGACCTTTTGTAGGAACAAAGTTTTTAAATCTTTAACTCCGTTTGGATATTTTCAAATGAATAGCTTCCTCGTCTTACGATCAGCTTCCTTATTGCCTGCAATGCCGACATGACATGGTATCAAAATAAGGAAAACAGAAGCTCCTACTGAAGCGAGATTTGCATCAGGCGTGGATTTCTGGAATCAAGGGAAGATTGAAGAGAGTCTGTACATAAAGTTTTCCAGTATTAATACTGCATGATAAGGGTAATAAAAAATACTTTTGAGATCTATCTTATGAGGTAACCGAATACCCTACACTATATTGATTTTTAAAAGCATCCGTAAATATAATTATTTTTTTAAACTGTTTATATTAGAAATCATTTCCAAAAAGGATTTCCTGAAAATTTCCTTTTGATTATTAAATTAAGGTATTTTTTAGCTAGGTAGGACTTTTTGAAACAGGAAAAGGCGTGATTCGATTAAGATCGATTTCATCAATAAATGGTTTTAGAGCCTGAGACCTATATCAATAAACCTTGTAACAGCCATAAATCCAATGTTTAGGTAAGTCTGTAAATAAGTCGTAACCAACAAATTTGTATTCATAAATACGTTTTATCCAGTAGTATCATTGTGTCTATCAGAATAAAAGAAAAAGAAATATTAAACATAATTTTACCAATAGATGGAATTCCTCCTTGCTGTCGATGTGGATTGACGTTGGGAAAAATTTCCTTATCACTAAGATTCTCATCCGGTTCAATAACCTGTTGAAAATAAATAAAACAAATCAGTTGTCAATGATGTTGACGTTGTCAGCAAATATTTGTCAATGTAATGTTTAAAACTTTTACATGAGTTCACTAAAAATATCTACAAACCTGTTGCCCTTGTTGCTGTTGTTGCTGTCTTGGCATCTGTTGTCGAATATGCGCCGGCATCACAGCAGAATGAGGCTGCTGGCGCGACTTAGCGGCACCTCCTCTCAAAACGCTGAGCGGTATCGGCGTCGGTACACTATCAGCTGATTGGCTATCTCTAGCCTTAGTACGCACCGTCACGTGTTTTGGATTTAAACCCAACAACTTGCTGATGTCGATCAATGCGTGGTCCCCTGTCGGACTGTCAACGTCGGTTACTTTTTTACCGTCCGCGTATACGGCGTAGCCCGTTATTGTGGAACCTGGATGATGGGGGGTTAAAATCGGGTGCCAAGTCACTAATAATGTTCCATCTTGTGGACCTATAGGAATATATAAGTAAACAAAATTAGATACTGATTCAAAACTGTCTAGAAGACCTGACAGAGTTAAGCAGTTAAAACAAAGTGATATTAGCCTGGCTACCAGGCCATAAAAGACATTAGGACAATAAAAAAGGATGACGCGAAGGCTCAAATAAGGCTATGACAGGTCCCGAACCCTTCTGTGGAGTTTCTAAGGTATTGTGAAAGGCATCCATCAAACAATGGATACAAAAAGGAATGGTGGAACAACTATCTGCGATTGAGACAGGCCAAAGAAGGCAATATGGAACCGTCGGCCAAGTTTACGAAAAACCTACTAGATCAAAAACGACAAATCGTTCGAAAAACACTAGATTTTCTTACCGGACATTGTCACCTTAGAAGGCACATGAGTGTCATTAATTAAGCTCAAGAAGCCACATTGCAGGTTCTGTAAAAACAGAAACGAAAAAAACATAAATCACCGGCTAGAGCCAGTGTTAAGATCTAGCTAGATTAAGATGTCTAATACTAGGCGAAGAAAAGACAAAGACATGTAATTGCATGAGGCAGCTACAGTCACAGACAACATGCTCTAAACAATGGAGTTCCACAATAGATGTGAAATGGTGGCGATAAACAAGGCAAATGTTCAACTCCTCTTGAATCTAATCGAATCTGTTATGTTCGATTATTAAACAAACAGAAACCAAGGATGTTACATTAATTTGAACCAAAGATCACTTGGGGAAACTTTCTAAAGATTTTGTATCGGAAGTGATGTATAATGAGATAACAAAATCCCAGAAATAGAGTGCCAATAAATAAAATAATGGTAAGAGCAGTGGAAGAAAATAGCAGCAAGCAGTTCCAAAGATCAGTACTATTAAATGCATCCTGTTTATCTGTAGAAACCTCTTATATCTTTGATGACAATACATCCAAATCATCTGCTTTTATCACTAGATTACCTACTATCCTTAAATAATAATAAACATAAAATACTGTTAGTTTTTTATATTCAGTTGGACACATAATTTAAAATAGATCAAAACCATCAAAAATATGTTTCTAATAAACTCGTTTTTAAACCAACGAACCAAAATTATATACAGCTTACGATGTCGATATTTACCTGGTTCGACGAGGATATCGCTAGGTGGATCAGGCAGTCCTTTCGGTAGCGTCCTAAAGTCCGTATGAGCTGCGGCCGGCATGGGTAGTTCTTCAGCTAAATTGGCTACGTTCTGTGCGGTTCTGTGATGTTTCGCTCTTACCGTCACTCTGTACTGAGTATTTGGCGCTAAACCGGTAATGGTATGTCGATAAACTCCTGGTTTAACAGTTCGAACTTCCACGTTATTTACACAGACTACGTGCTGATGATTGGAGTTGGCCGGTAGCCAACTGATGACAGCCGACGTTGAGGTTATATTCGAGGCTCGTACTGCGCTAGGACCCAACGAATGGGTGTCTCTGCCGATAATCATGGTGCAAGCTGCATCTCTGGATGTTCTACGGTTGGCGGTTACTGATCGAACACTGATACGGTGAGGCTAGAGAAGACATTTTTTTAAATATAATTAAAGTCTAAGAATTGACGAAAAAATTATTGATTATTAATTGCTAAACACCAGACCAACTATGGTTTGCTCTCTTTTTACGCAGGCATCTAAATAATAACAAACTTTGATGCTAAATTTAAAGAGTAAATGCAAACAAAGGCAACCTTAGTTATTGTTAATGGTGACAGTTGTTTGCACTGCCTCCAAAACTGTAGCACTAAAGTTTGTTGTTATATTGACGTCTGCGTGAAATTAGAACAAATCATGGTTGGTCTGGTGTTTAGCAATTAATAGCTTATCATTTTTTTCAATTCCTTTTAAAATAATTTGCCGGTTGGCTCTCAGCAGTTATATTCTAGAAAGAAGTGCCAGGTACTAGATACCTTTTCCTATTGTTTGGGTTATTTAAAAGAAGTCTTTATTAACGCTACTAAAATAGAGGCAGTATATTAAACATTGTTAAAAGTGTGCATACTATTCGAATACATAAATACAAAATACTTTACTTAAATGTCTTCCAATATTTATTAAGCGTATGTAGCCAAATAAAATCCTGGTAAATAAAACGGATACTAAAAAAACTTTCTTGGAGCCTATCTAAGCCACCAACAAGTTAAGGAAGTAATTAGCATTATTACAGATAAATGCCAAACTACGCACACGCATCTGCACCACATGAAAATCTATCTAGAAAGGTCACTGAGAAAATTCCGACCTGATGATCAATTTGGGACTGAAATTAGTGACAAAAAAAATGCTTTCATGAGTTTCTTCGTCTACAGCATTATTTATTATTAACTTTAAGATCAACCGACCTCTATCTGTATTTCCGCATCTACTTGCTAGTTCGTCTCTTCTTCTATATCTCTAAATTTAGGAGGGTGTGTTGCCTTACGAGAGTGAGACCTACATATCTGATGTAGTCGAAAACGTCGCCGAGAGGTGCCTTCCTTATATCGGCCGATGTAAAAAAAAACACCAATCTTCTAATCAATGAGAACGACAGTCATATGCTCGCTAGTTTAATTTTTTGTTTGTGTCCCCTGCAATGTGCGGATTTGGACAGCGATAATCTATTAAGATGCTTCCATACATTGCAATGACCAATCAGAATGCCTGTGATCAGGCACAGATTCTGTCTAGTCAAAGTCAAATATGTGTTTTCTATAGTGTTGTCAGGGTAACTTAAAAGCTCCCTGGCAACTCTACAGCTTCTTGTTTCATCCCAGCTTTCTTTGAATTTCACAAATAAATGTTCTTAAATTAAGTTTGTCACGACCGATGTTGCCAGTCCAATGGAAGGGCCAAGTCCAAAAAGTATTTCGGGCTACCTTTCGATGTGACGTGACCATTGATCCAATTTAAGATGGCCACGTTGTTAATGGATACTTAGGTCAAAGTACTAACCCTGAGTAAATTCGTCCTCTGTCCAGGGTTAGTAATATTTGTCTGCTATATTTTGCTGCTACGAGAATCCCCGTAAGATTAGTTTCAACTACACTGGCACTATTAAGCCTCGTCCCTTATCTGTCTTCATAAACAAGGTGATTTTCCAAATGTTTTACTAAATTTTTGGTTTAGTCTTATTTTTCAAATTTAATTATCTAGTCTATAACCATTTTTCTTTGTTAGTGAATAGGTTTTAGGCCTTAAACAAAGAACAAAATAACTGTTATAACGCTCAAGAGAACAGCTTAAGATAAAGCTAAAAAGGTAATAGTTATAGTGATTCATAGTTTATAAAATAAATTATTTGGGATCAATAATTCAAAAAGACGAAAATTTATTCACAAATCCCACATATTGGACCTGGTTCTAGAGCAGTATTATATTAGGACAGCTTGACTATGAGCCAAGTTAACTGTCTGTGAATTACTAAAAAATTTACACAGTACAAATTTGAGCGATACATATACTAAAATAATCAACTATAATTACCTGAAAACTTACCCTATTACTTTCCACTCCTTCCACCAAAGCCCTAGTTCTTTCCGTAGCTTTGATGGTCGCCTTCAAAACTCCATCAACGTACACGTGGTAACTTTCGATTTGATTTCCCGGTCCGATTCCTTCTGGAGCCGTCCAGGATATAAGCACGCTCTTGTTCAACTGCCTCTCCAAGGTGAGCTGTCTTGGAGCCGGCACTAACACCGAGAAGAAAAGGTCAGCTGGAGGTCAAATGTGTGTCAGTCTAAAGCTAGAGGTGCTAAAATTGTACCCAACGTTCGAAAGGTCGCTTTCATTCGTTCTTTTTAAAGTTAGTCAGCTCTCGATTTGAACAACTTTGGACACATTATCAATAAAAGAATAACGTAGTAACAAATAGGGCGAATAACGAAATTAATTTAAAAAAAATATCTACGTTTAACTCTTGTGTTTTCAAGTATAAAAGTTTGTAGAATATTCTGTTGCTATAATTGTATTGTCATGCAAACTTTTTAAAATGGTTTATTAAAGACTGTAAGGATTTGCATTGCATTTTCCAGATGTCTATAATTTGAGTGAATTTGTGTTTGTAATTAAATTGGTGTGTTTATTTTTAAATGCAACACAATTAACTCAATAAATGAATATGAAGAATAAAAAAATCAGACTGAGGTAAGAAGTAGTCAGGTATAATAAAAGTAGTTAGAGCATAATATAATCATAGATGTAGATAGCAGAATAAAATGGAAAGGGACACGATAAAAAAAAAAGGAGTCATACAACGAAGAAGATAGTTTGAAGTGGTTATAGTACAAGAAAAAACTTTTCACGAGATTGAGATAAATGACCAAATTTTCTAGAAAATGATTAATCGTAGTAGTAAATATTTTATACACAAGTTGTAAATAATAATATCTTTTTACGATCACTACCCAAAGTAGGCTTTTGCTCTTCCGAAAAATTGAAGTTTTCCGCTAACTGACATTAAGTGACAGCTTTGTCGCTCGCCGAACGAAAAACTTGACAGCTTTGTTGTTCGCCTAATTTAAATTAGATATAATATAATAATATTTCTTTTTAATAAATTATTTTCAAGTTATTTGTACGTAGTTTAATGTTTTCTTTGTTTTACTATCCAAGTTAACATTGACTTTGAACATCAACTCCGTTTTTCATGACTTAGATATAGGCAACACATTATACACTACTTATGACAAATTTTCAGTTTTATATCTATTTCTCAAAATAATGTGCCCGTAGAAAAAAATCTTGGGTGCATTTTGAGCGAAAAGTTCGTTGCCGCTTTCGAAAGATTGCCGCGCTCCACCAGCGTCGCGCAGCTAACTTTCTGCCTCAAGTGGCTCAGTATCACTTTTCGCTCTTAATACTCAAATAGCTATTTGGGGTAATAAAAGTAACAAAACTCACTACTTCGCTCTAAAAATTTTTTATGCCAAACCTGTAAATATAAAAATTGTTCAGCTCTAAAATATCTACAATATGATTATATTATTTTTTGATGTAACGAACGGGAAGCCTATACAGGCGTTAACTTCGACTTCTACATTAAAAATTATTTAATATTCGTATGTATTATCATTAAACACCAAAAGAATGAAAAATTTACAATCTTTGAAACCCAACGCACAACTCGTAAAACGTTTTGTCCTATTAATAAACATTGTAATGTGGAAATTCAGAATTGTCTTTACATGCATGCACTTGTAAAAACAAGCAATGATGAAGATAGAAGAAAAATGAAGACTAACATAAAATGTTCAATATTATCAATCTATTGATCCTTCAGGTCTACAATGCTGGTCAATTCATTATATTATTTATTTTTTTATTGAAATTGTGGATTAAATTCTGAGTAGCTCTTAAGAAGGAACAAAACATAATACCTAGTTTATGATACCTGCAATATTTTGTTTGGTCAGTAATATTTTTGGGACTGGGCAACCAAAATTTGTGCGTTTCTTTAGTTTAATTTATGGTAAAAATTATCCCAAAACTCTCCGATGAAAAATGTTTCGCCCAAATAAGCAAACTATTATCCATTGACAATTATTATTAACTGTGAATATAGATACAGTTGATCATTTGCTCCTACATATTTATCAAAACAAAACGTTTATTTTCTTGGAATTTCTGTACAAATTAATAAACATGCAAAGGAGAAATACATAGTTAATAAAATTGATTGATTTTTGAAATCTATAAAATAGGTAAAAAGAAACGTAAATCTAATAATTTATCTGAAAGACTGCAGTTAATATGTAGTTTTATCCAAAACAGATGACATTTTGTTTGAACTGAAGTTTGATAAACAAGAAGACTCAATTACTGGAGTACTGGAATAAACGATTTAAAGAGACTGTTTTATGGATTTATAAACCAATACACTTATTTAATAATGAAAAATACAACGTATCTGATTATATCAATAATTAAATCGCAACTGAGTAAAAATATTGATTTAACCATTATAATAATAGAAAATACTCTATGGAATTCTTATGACACTAATTATGTGGCATCTCTAAATGATGCTGTACGGATGCTATCACTATCTGTTACGTATTGTCAATCATCTAATCTATATAGGATTATTCATAAAAAATAAGCTCGTTCATAATAAAGAAATCTTAAAATGTTTAAAAAAAGTGCATGAAATATTGTGAAAAATATAGGGTTATTTTCATGCGGTTACCTAGTCATAAAGGTATCCTAGGGAGGGAGATAGCAGTAACTCCAGATCGTCTAGCGGTTAAAGCTGAAATTGTAGAAGTATACTTTGTAGATAACTGGACATCCAAGTCCGCTTAAGTTAAAGAAATTATTTCAGTCGAAAATTATGGAATAAAAAATTATGAAATAAAAAATGGAATAAAACGTTGCAGCTTTATGTATTCTATTTGAATAGGGAGATAATATAGAGGATTCGGCAAATCTCTATCGAAGTTCTATAACTCCTACTAGGCAAAACGTATTTGAAGGATATCTGTCAGGAGAAGGTCAATATCAAATATTCAGAAATTATTGTCATTTATACAGGATTGATTGTCCAATAGTAAATTAGGCGAATCACTTAACTTTTTTAAATTGAATGACCCATTTTTACATTTTTAGGTACAGAACGGTAACTTTACAATCCTGAATATTAGAAAACTGTCTAGAAAAACAGTAGCATTGAATAGAGAGATATCTGCTATCCCACTACCGCAGTAGAATATTGGAGAACTATCTAGAAAAACAATAGCATTCAATAGAGAGAGAGATAAAGCTATACCTAACGCGGTAGAGGTGTAACCATGTTTTAAAACGTCCAATCACGCAGGCGGAAAGGTGGACAGGTCAGTCTCAGACTGGCTACAATAAATTATCTCATTCTTATTTTATAATTCATTTTATTTTTTGGAAGTACCTATTTACATTTTTTTAATTTTTAATTATCGAATGCCATTTACTTTTAAGTACTTTCTAGCAAAAATTGAGCGTTTTATTTGTAAGATATTACCGATAATGTAACTTTCGCCATGTTAAACAATAAGCGACGTACACCACAAAAGGGATGTTGCGATACTACTGATATGATACTGGTATCGATACTTTTCTTTCAATCCGGATCATTTAGATACTTTGCTTTCGATACTTTACCCATATCGATACTACTTTTGTTTCGATACTACTACTTCCGTTTCAATATTTTACTACTTTTGACATTACAATACATACAAAAGGCATTTCTTGATAAACTTACCACGACATACTTCGTAACAGCGTTGTGGTTACTCTGATACCGTGGTAACTCGTAGCACTTGTCGTTGTCACATGTCAAATTGGGGATTTGTTTACTTTGTTTTTGTTCAGATAAATTAAAGCGTTTTTGTCACAGACGTCATTTGGTTTTCGTTCTTTTGTTATTTATTTAAATATGTCTCCTCCAACAAAAGGAAGAAAAAAAATTAATAAGTGTTATTTGTGATGAAATAACAATGATAAATACTTGTGCCAGTAGTCTCATATTTTCATCTTTATATTTCAATATAAATAACAGTATCCAGTGGTCATCAACATCGCTCTCGTGAAGAGTTATTTCAGTGCCCTGTATTTCAAATGTAATTTCTTTCATAGTAAATAGAGTTTTCTTTGGTAAATACAAAAATGCCTAACCCAAATATACAAAATGAACCATATAACCCGTAACCACAGAAAAATCTCTTTAAAATACTTTGCGCATGCTCGATATGTTCAAATGTGGACCTTACTGACCTTACCACACACCTTACCACTAAAAACATCATGGTTAGTAGTAGTTACGTATTTTGGTAACGTATGACGTCATGGAAGTAACCAAACCGTTTAAAGAATTGCTTTGGTTACATAAGTAAGTTATGGTAAGCTTATAAAGAAATGCCTAAAAAGTGTGTTGTAGGATCACTTTATGGTATAGATGCTTACCCTATGACTTTTTTTTGGTGGTTTTACACAGTGCCGAATAGAGGGGGGGTAGCCGGGACTAATACCTAGGGCCCTGACTCAAATGGGGGCCCGGTAATTTTTTTTGTTTTGTATGAGCAATTCGACACAAGACGAGAGGGGGAAGTTTTTGGTTGGGGAGCTGTTTTTTTTTAGAAAATTCAATTCAAGTAGATGAGGAAAAGTTTTTGTTTGAAGAGCCCGATCTAGAGAATTGTCCTGGGGCCCGGCGTGGCTCTCGGCGGCCCTGGTTCCCTGGTTCTACACTGTTCCAATATCGGTATCGATACTTTCATTCTGATACCCTTTCGCTACCGGTATCGATACTCTTTTCGATACCGGTATCGATATTTTACTGGTATCGCAACATCCTTAACCACAAAACAGTTTGTGGAGTACTGAAATGTATGGTGTGCTGTGAGCTGTGCTGTGAACTGATCGCTAACTGCGGGCAGCAGTGTCCCCTTCTTGTTATCGAAAGGTCGTAGTTAAACAAGTTTCTCTCTTTATTTTACTTACGTCCATCTTTATTTCTCGGGATTCCTAAGTTAACATACTGTGTAGTTATTAGCTTCGTTTGCGGTAACAATCCTGAACTGATTCATAATTATTAATTCACGCTTTGAGCGTAAGTGATCTATGGAGTGCATGTCCGAATTATTAATTCTGAATTTCTTCCGCGCGCGCAATTCCTATTATATCTCGATGTTTCAGGTATAGACAGGCGGTTCAAAAC